CCCGAACACAAATACTTCAGTATTGTGTTATTCATCTACGTGTGTGTATCTGCCCTTTAATTCAACCCCACAGCACAGAAATCAAGCAGTAAAGTCAGCCAGCGAAGAGCAGATCAAGTTGCAGCACTAGAGTGAGCTTAGTAGAGGCCCGTGGAAAGTGTCCACTCACTTAGGTTGTTGAAAGGGCCCATGAATTCACCTTCAGAGTAGGAAGTCTTTGGTTGGCTGTATGAATACAGTAGTTTATACAAAAGGAAAATGTTGGGATTTTTACTACTGATCTATTCACTTGCTTTGGATTTCTAACATGCTGAGTAAACTTTCCATTGCCTGAGGAGCTGGGAACATTTGTTACAGAACAGACGTTGAGTAAGGGGCTTCCTGCTCACCTGCCTCCGGGGTCCATCCTCCACCCCGGCTCTGTCATTTTCTTCCTCTGGGTCATCAGCCATGCATGCTGACGAAAACGACTCCTGGTCGACTCGCACCCAGCTCTACGCCACCTCTACTTTCTTCCCTACCTGTCACCTTCCCACCTTCTCCTGACCGTTTGCCAACCAGATACATCCTGCTGCTCCTAAATCTGCGTTTTTCGATCATTCCTTCATCTTGGACCCCCATTCTGGACTAGTGTTTTCTCGGTGTTCTTTCTAGGGGCTGCAGGAGAGTCTTCGAGCAATGCCAAGCTTTGTCAGTACTTCCTGATGATGGGAGCATGGCTCTGTTACAGGAGTTTGCTGAGCTGAAAAATCAGCTATGACAAGCACAGCGCAGTGCCAAAGAAACCCGCACAAAGACGGAGACAGCTCAAAGATGCTCCAGAGAAACGGGCTGGCGATAGACAGAGGACAATGGCTACCTGTTCTTTCACCTGCAACATCAGCCTGCAGTAAGTAGTACCACAATATTCTGTCTCTCTGCTAGAACTCAACGCTCGCTTGAATCTGTCGTCAACGTGATTTTGCTTCAGATAAGTCCACTGAGGAATGAAGAGTGTGGAAGGCTGCAAAGTAATAAGCATGGATTTTCCCAGGAAGGTTCGAATGAGAAAGAGCTTTGATTACTCAGAGTCACCTTCAAATGTCCTTTCTTCCACCTAGTGTTCCCAGATGGAGGTGACATCTCAAGACATTCTGTGGGGTCAGAGACATCGCTGAACATATTAGAGAGCATGGGACAGGGACCGGAAACGCAGCTCATTGGTGGACTGCTGACCGAGCATTCAGAAGCTCTGAGCTCCAGCACTGCATACACCAAATGTACGATGTATGGGAGAAACAGGAGGGTCAGAAGAACAAGGTCATCTTTGGCTACACAGCAAATGTGAGGCCCAGCAGGCAGTAGACAAACAGAGCACAAGAAAATTCCTCAAAGCAGACAGTGACCAGTTTCAGTAGTGATGAGGCTGAGGAACCTGTGGTCTGATCTATTATGCTTATTTTCCTTCTAACACACAAAAAAAATCTCTGTGGGGTCTAGAATGATCTAGAGTCTTGTGCATGAGTCACCCAATACAGGTCTACAGTAGATAATCAAAAGGAATCATTTTTCTGGAAAAGGGTTTTGATCAAAATGAAAATCCTAATGTATGTAGTCTGTAGTAAGCACACACTATAAATGATCAAAAAAGTGAATTGGGCTATAGAGATGGTTCGGTCAGTCAAGTGTCTTTTTCATAAACACGAGGGTGTGAGTTCAGATCCCCAACACCCACAGAAAGACAGAACAGACTGCCTATGACCCTAAGTGGGGGCTGGGCAGCCTACCCAGCTCCAGGTTCAGCAAGAGAACATGTAGAAAAGCTAGTGTGGAAAAAACAAAGAAGAGACCTGGTAGCAACATTTATTCCTCACAAATATGTGTACACACACACATGCACACACACACACTCACACACACCACACAGATACCATGCAAAGAAAGGAGACAGAACCTTCTTTTCACGATTTTTCTGGGTAGTCCTAAAATATTTGAATTCAACAAATATCAAATAATGAGTAAGTGTGATACTCATGGCCATATTTATTTTCTCCCTGAATTTTAAAACTATTGATATTTTTTCGGGATGAGCAACTCTTAAAATATTAGGCACCACTCCTTGATTGTAAATGCATCTTCATTATGGAAGGAGAATCGCAGTCACTTATACCATGGCTATGGGAAATACTACAAAATACCAAGCTATTACTACTGTTTCAGGTGAAGTAGAAACTGAAATTTACATTTATATATTTGTCTAAAAAGCAGAGGGTTTCAGGATTTTTTTTCCTTTTACCATTTTCACAAGTTCCCTGAAAAACTTCTCAAAGCAAATAGTAGAAAAGGCTCAAGAAGGCAGGCGGGATGTGAGGGCTTGGAAGAGTTTTACCTTACATTGCATAGCTAACACCATGAAAGTCAGCTCAGATGCCCTCAGACCTTAGTCCGCACTATAGAGGCTGACACATGGGAAGAGAATTTCTGTCCATACTTTATGTCCTAATTGCTCCCACTTAGCTGCACTGACTAACACAATTCAGGAAACTGGGCTGAAAGAGAAGTTTAAGTCGGAGCCCTCCCTGAGTGTCAAAGGGTCTCATGTTTCTCAGGGGATCTAAGAAAACACGTCCCGCTTTTTTTGTGTAAAGCACAAAAAAGTAGGAAAATAAAATAGGGTTTGACTATCACTCCCAACCTGCCTCTTGAGAAGAACCACACATCGGTTAAAAACAGATGCCCACAGGCCCGCAGCCAGGGTTCCAGCAAGAAGCAGAACGCATGATCGCCATTATTCTGGGTGAGGTACTTACAACTGAGTCATCCCTGCTAGCTGCTCACTACATCCCTAGCTGCTCAACATTGCAACAACCCAAATTTGATAGCTTCAGATGGCAGCCGTATCTCCTTTGTCAGGGTCGTGTTTCTGCACAAGCCATCTGGAGTACAGGAGTAGATCAGTCTTCAGAGGCATCAGAGGGCCAGTTACACCAGAGAATGACCTAAAATCCAAGCTCGACTGATACATGATCCCCTGACAATGAAGATGGCCACTGAGCCCAGCAACAGCATTATCCCAGCTTCCACTGGTCAATATAACTCCTAAAGTCAGCCCAGGTTTAAGAGAAACAGATTCTACATCTTTTCAAAAACTTTACATTTTTGGTGCATCTATTTGCCAGTCTGTGCTTGTGTATGGGGGCGGATGAGGTGTCTGTGTCACAGTATGCATATGGAGGTCAGAGGACAACTTTTTTTTTTTTTTTTTTTTTTTTTTTGGTTTTTACGAGACAGGGTTTCTCTGTATTGTTTTGGAGGCTATCAGTCCAGCCTGGCCTCAAACTCACAGAGATCCGCCTGCCTCTGCCTCCCCAGTGCTGGGATTAAAGGCGTGTGCCACCACCACCCGGCCGAGGACAACTTTTTTTTATGTTGAACTTTTTTTTTAAATTAGAAACAAGCTTGCTTCACATGTGAATCCCAGCTCCCTCCCCGTCCTCTACCCCTCACCTCCCACTAAACCCCTCAACCCCACACCCCATGCCCCCCTCCATTTCCCAGGGAGGGTGAAGCCCTCCATGGGGAATCTTCAAAGTCTGTCATATCATCCCTCGCAGGGCCTGGGCCCTCCCCCATGAAGAGGACAACTTTTAGGAGTTAGCTCTCTGTTTCTACCTTGTGGTGGCAAATGCCCTTTGGTGCTGAGTCATCTTGCTGGTTGTAGGTTAGAGCAATGAGGGTTATAGAAGAACTTGGGGAGCTGGCTAGTGTTGTGAATCCTTTAGCATCTCTAGACCTCTAGATCGCTAGAGGTAAGAGAAGCAAGAAAATTACCAGAACTGACAGTTGGAGAGCCTGCATGGGACTGAGCTAGGCACTCTGAATATGGGCGACAGTTGTGTGGCTTGGTCTGTCTGTGCAGCCCCTGGCATTGGGACCAGGATCTGTCCCTGGTGCATGAGCTGGCTTTTTGGAGCCCATGCCCCATGGTGGGATACCTTGCTCAGCCTTGATGCAACTAGGAGGGACTTGGTCCAGCCTCAAGTGGATAAGCCAGGCTTAGTTGACTCCTCATGGGAGGCCCTAGCCTCTCTGATGGGGGAGGGGGATGGAGAAGGGGAAGGAGTGGATGGAGGGGGAACTGTGCTAGATATGTAAAATGAATAAAAAATTTATATAGTAAAAAACAGAGTGTCCCCAGAGCCCTGTGGACCCTAGCACATGAGTTAGAGCTAAGAGAGAAAAGGGGGCTGAACAGACAAGAAGACTGCTTGCCTGTGGCAGTGTGACCCCTTTTCAGCACACTTCTCCAGCCCCATGAGCGCACAAGCAGAGGGAGAGGAAGCCTGGGGGTCACCGTGGGTTTAGCTTTCCAGGAGACTGGGGCTGGTAGAGGGAAGGAAGAGCCACCTGTTCAAGCAGTGTCATTTGACTGAAACACACGGTCTCCTTTAAAACATGGCTCTGGTTGAATCCCCCTTTGAATTTCAGGTGACTTACACGTGACAGTGTCTGGTGACAGAGCACTCGCTGTCTCCACACCAGCTCCTTAGTCCTGCAGTTGAGCGGCTGCTGGGACATTTTCCTTTTTATTCAGACAAAATCGCCCTTCAGCAAGCTTTCAAACTGCTGCTCCACTTTGCTTCACCAGGATGGCAGAGAGCATACTCACTCTGGTTTCTAGGATGGCTTTTCAAGTACTTGGAAAAAAGCTGGGTCACAAGCTAGGAATTTTTTTCTCTCCACATGAAACAGCAGGATGGCATTTGTTCAGAGAACAGTTTCCTGCTTAGCCCGGCCCCTTCCTTTACCACATGCTAGCTTGACAATCGCTCTAAACTAACTGAGCCTTGTGTGCACTCAGAACAATGAAGTGGGGTACATTACTTTCTTGCTTTTGGAAGGTCTACTTCTACCTAAGGTAAGGGTTTCTTTCCAAAAAATCACTTTGTTATCTGTGGCTCTCTGAAGGGCAGGTTAAGGACGTCCATGAATACCCAAATAAAAGAATAGCAAATACTCACACACTGAAAGGTCTTCTGTCCTTCGAGGTGCAGGACGCTGTGATGTAGGATGACTGTCAGGTCTCAGCCCATCACCCCAAAAGAGAGCAGGCGACCCCTCCTCTTCCTTAGAAGGGATCACATTTACATACTGAAGCCAAGCCCTAAGACTCTGGAACTATTGGTGAAAATTAATTCCTACTGTATTCCCCCCCTTTTTATCTAAATAAGTGGGTTCCAACCTTGATACAAAACTATATACAATAGGAACAGATATCAAATACTGCCCAAGAGGAAGAAAGGTAAAAATATACACAAATTAGAACTATAACCAACAAGGCATCAACAAGCAAGAAGCACACTCTAAAATGTCCGGGCTAATGGTAGTTGGCAAATAAAAGAGATTATTCCAACAGCTGTCCTATCCTGAGGAGTCTGAGACTTGTACCTAAACCACCTCAGCTAAGATATGAGAGGACAGCAGCTGTGGCTATCCAGTCTTCAACCCCATCAAAGACCTGGGAAGGAAAATTTTACCTGAGTAAGCAGGAAGTGCAAGCAGGCGACTTCTCAAAGGTGCAAGAAAAGACAGAAACAGCTGGCTGCAGGGACAGTCACCCACGGGCTCACAGTGACATCACAGCAACCAACGTTGGCTGAAGCCTAGAGTATCTGACAGACCATTATCAGCAGCAGGAAAATTTGACTGCCGTACCCTGTCTTCAGCAGTCTCTTTTTTTTTGTATATCCTGCTTATCCGGTTAGAACAGTGTATCAGCTGTCAGCAGTCAAGGAAAGGACTGTTCTTTGCCCAATAGGTCAATTTTGCCAAGAAAAAAAAAAGCAAACAAACTCCAAATGTAGTGTCTCCAGTGCCCATCATACGCTCAAGAATAGCTTGGTGCTATCAGGAACAATTGTGTCTCATATCAACAGAGTTCTAAATTATTAAGACATTTAAATGCGATATTTTGTAGGTCTTTGAAGTGTTTGAAGATCAAATATCTATGCTGAGCACATCTCTGAGCATCTAGAGAACCTGGCTAACCCAGCTGGGTATGAGAAACATGGGTGACTATAATTCTCAACCTACATAGCTTACTGACTAAAGCTTCACATAGAAAAATAAACAACCTTTAAACAGATGTGCAGCATGAGGACAATGACCTCAAAACTGTAACTATATACGTCTATATGTAAATATCTTGATCAGAGGTAGAACTGTATGGTACAAAATGACAAAAATATCCTTAAATTGTATCAACTTTGTAAAACATCTTAAGGATATGTAGAAACATGCATACATACAATATGATAAAAATAACCTTACACATTTGTATGCAAGGACACTGTAAGCAGAAGGAGGAGCCTATAGAATATGACAAACATAATATCAAGTTTGTGACAATACACAAATTATCAAAGACAGGAATATAAAATTAATTTTATATAAGCATCGATATACAAGAATCCGTATCAGCGTAAGTTGTCTATAGCTAATAGTGGCCAAAATAGATGTACTAATTTACCTATATCCTATCCCATCCATTCCCCTTTATTCTTTTCCAAAAGAGATTCCTGAGTCTGATCTTTTTTTTGTTGTTCTTTGTTTTGTTTTGTTTTTCGAGATAGGGTTTCTCTGTGTTCTTTTGGAGGCTGTCCTAGAACTCGCTCTGTAGACCAGGCTGGCCTCGAACTCACAGAGATCCGCCTGCCTCTGCCTCCCAAGTGCTGGGATTAAAGGCGTGTGCCACCAACGCTCAGCCTGAGTCTGATCTTAATACTCCACGCCCAGCCCTTATAACTTATAACCAACACTGAACAGATGAAAATTATCAATAACCTTGAAAAAAAACAAAAACCCATCCATCCCACCTGTTGGGAAAAAGGATGTCATTTTCTGAGTTACTTCCAGCTGTCTTGGGGTGAAGTTTTCTCTATGGGATCCTGTAAAAGAACTAACACAATGGTTAAGTCTCAGGAGGACCAGCTGTAACATTTGTAGTCGGTCTCTGAGTAGCAGGTGAGGCTTATCTGAGGTTCTTATTTGAAGCTCTAGCCAGTGTTGCAAGAAGGTGGATCATCTCAGCTAGATAATCAGGAATTGTCTAGAGAAGTTTTAGTCCAAAACCCATCCTTGAGTGGTGTTTACTAGTTCAAAGACATCATTTTGAACCAAGTGGAATCAATGTTGTGGTCCCCATCTTCTTTCTGGAGACTTTAGAGACTGTTGTTAGGAAATTTTATGGTTCACTGAGGAAGACTTAAACATTATTATCAAATAGGAAAGTTTAAATTTGTATAGATATACATACAAGGAAAGGTACCAATAAAGATGAAAATAAATATGGAGAGAAATAGGATTGGGGGGAGATAACAGAGTTTTGATAATAGTAGTCCCTAGATTTTTGGAGTTTTTATTTTCTATTTCACACCAGGTGGCTCTTTTGATACGAGATAGAAACTCATATTTTCAACAATATATTTGAATTTAGAGAAGGAGCAAGCCATGGTTCAACTCCAAAGCCAGCTTTGATTTGTGAGTTGGTACTACCATTATATTTGGAAGTAAGGAGATATAGGTGTTTAGGTGAGATTTTATCCTGTATTGGATATTGGTTCCATAAGTAAGATTCTTTTTTATTTGGTGATTCTTTCTGGATAGCTACCCTTTCTTCTTTATGCATCTAGATGTTCAGTGTCTTTTGGCTTCTTGAAGATGGGTATTTCTGTTTTTCTGCCAAGACAAGAACAGAACTTTGCCCCAACCTTTGTGAGGTTTTCTTACAACTTGTAGGTTGGGTACCAACTGAAGGACAGATTAAGGAAGTCCGCCAACATCGAGTAAAAGAATAGCAAATATTTGTTTAGGGAACACTCACACACTGAAAGATAAGATGCCGCCTCAGTCTCCTGCACCTGGAGGTGCAGGATGATCATATGGTCTCAGTCCATCACCCCAAGAGAGATTGCGTAACCCCTCCTCTCCCTTATAAGGGATCACATACAATACTGAAGCCATGCCCTAACACTCTGAAACTATTGGTGAGAACAAATTCCCACTACAACTCTCTACATCTCTTGTATCCTTTATTCTCTAGGTTCTTCATTAAGATTTATTAGAATTCTCAAATAGTTGCTGAGTGAAAAATAAGTAAATGTATAGACAGGTAGATAGGCAGATCAATTGATAAAAAAATGATAAATGGGTTATGAGTGAAGCCAAAACAAAACAAACAAAAAAAAAGCAAACAAAAGCTCAACTTGTTATTGCAGTCCAGGGGACTTCTGCATCAGTAAGGATAGTTCTGAAAAACTGGAAACATGTAAAGATCACTTTTAATATTAACTTGAAGCAGTGAAAACAAAATACTTTGATTCGGAAAGCAGCAACAAGTCCACTCAAAGCTGCATGGGCCTCATTTCTAATCACCTCTAACTAGCTATAGATGGTACCTCTATACTTTTACTTGATTTAATTAATTAATTAATTTGTTTTGTTTTGTTTTTTGAGATAGGGTTTCTCTGCATAGCCCTGGCTCTTGGAAAATCAGAGATCCTCCTGCCTCTACCTCCCAAGTACTGGCATTAAAGGTGTGTGCCTCTACCACCTGGCTGAATGGCATCTTTAAATGGCCTTTGCTATAAAATTTTTGGACAAAAGTGTTCATTTTATCTGATTTATGGTTTGAAATTTTTGAGAATTCTGCGGAAAAGAGATTTAACTTTATCCACTGCATCAAAGCACATCTCTAAGACATACACAAATTGTCTTTATAACACGAAAGCACAGGGAGGACCTATGAAACAGACATATGTCATTCTTTTCACCTTTCAGACTTAGAAAGGAAGACAGAAGATTTGAGTCTCAGTAGACAAGAAAAAGCTGACCAACTGAAACAATGGGAGAATCAAGTTGTCACCATTAGAAATGAAACTGTGAGAAGAATAGAAATATGCCACCTGCTATAATTAGGCTAAGTCCAGGGGCAAAACTTGTGTCTGTGTTCCTGCTGATTGATGACTCTTCTTCTTCTTCTTCTTCTTCTTCTTCTTCTTCTTCTTCTTCTTCTTCTTCTTCTTCTTCTTCTTCTTCTTCTTCTTCTTCTTCTTCTTCTCCTCCTCCTCCTCCTCCTCCTCCTCCTCCTCCTCCTCCTCCTCCTCCTTCCTCTTCCTCTTTCTCTTCCTCCTCCTTTTTTTTTATTTTGTTTTTCAAGACTGGTTTTTTTGTGTAAGAGTCCTGGGTATCCTGGAATTCACGTTGTAGACCAGGCTGGCCTTGAACTCACTGAGATCCACCTGCCTCTGCCGGCCAAGTGCTGGGATGAAAGGCATTTGCCACCACCACCACCTGCATTTCTGTCTTCTTAAGCTGCTCCTCGCCTTGACTGCTCAGTGTGGCTGCAAAAGTCAGAGCAAAGCCCATGCCACTTCCGGAGACAAGGGGATAAGGAGTGAGTTTGTTTTTGGCTTCAAAAGCCTTCCCTCTCTGCCTTTTCTTTTCCATAACTTAAAACAAGCAGTTCATCTGCCAAGTAAAAATCTAAGTAAGCTCTCTACTCACCAATCACCATTGCCATTAAATGAACACAACATTGACTAATAATCTCTGATGCTAGGAGTGAATATGTACAATGACATGAGCTGGGTTGTCTAATTTTCTGTTCATTTGGATTTGATTCTTACTGTTAAATCTTTAAATATCTAAATAAAATGTCTGAAACTCAAAATGTACCTCATACCACACTTCCCTATTCACTAGAGGGTTCCATTTTCCCCAAAAGGCTCTGGAACAGTATTCTAAAGGCATAAATACTGAACTACTTTTCATAATTTTTCTGTAGCCATTTTTACTATAAAATCTGCTGCTTTAGAAAAAGATTAGCAATCATGTTCTTATTGTTTAGTATAAAAGATTGGACTGTTTCATATCCAGTTAGTCTATGGTTTCACATTCTTCATGGGTTTTTGCTTGGTTGGTTTTGTTTTTTGTAACAGGCCACACCACTTCTGTTGGGAATTCAGGCCTTGGGGGGATTGTCTAGGACAGTTTGGCCCCACATTAATATGTGCCAACCTTTACATAGATGGGAAGACAGCTGGAGCCTTTTCTCTGAAGGACTGACTCATCAAAGTGAGACTTAAAATTTCAAAACAGGACTTTGAGAATACAAATAACTCTGAGAATGCCTAGAATGTAGATGACCAAGGAAAACTGCAGAATCTACTTTACAGTGGATCCGGAACAGATGGAAACTTCTCTTCAGGAAAGACTACCCAGAAATTTCTCATCAAGTCTGTAGTAGTAGCGTTTACTAGCCAACAATGGGATCTACAAGCCTCCACTGAAAGATGTCCAAAAAATGGCCCAGAGAGTCAAAAATTATAACCACCATGACTCTCTCTCTCTCTCTCTCTCTCTCTCTCTCTCTCTCTCTCTCTCTCTCTCTCTCTCTCTCTCTCTCTCTCTCTGTGTGTGTGTGTGTGTGTGTGTGTGTGTGTGTGTGTGTGTGTGTGTGTGTGTGTGTGTGTGTGTACGTGTGCATGCTTGGCTTAGGGTTTCTATTGCTGTGATGAAATATTTTGGCCAAAAGCAAGTTCTTACTTGATTTATGCTTCCTCTTCACTGTGAATCATCAAAGAAAGTCAGGACAGGAACTCAAACTGGGTAGAAATCCAGAGGCAGGAGCTGATGCAGAGGCCATGGAGAGGTGCTCCTTATGGCTTGCTCTGCCTTCTTTCTAATAGAACCCAAGAGTACCAGCCCAGGGTAGCACCACCCACAGTGGGCTGGGCCCTCCATCAATCGCTAAGAGAATGCCC